CCCAGTTTCCTAAAGAAACACCCCAAAAAAAAAAAAAAAAAAAAAAAAAAAAAAAAAGAAGTCCACAATGTCTAGCAGTGTCTGGCAACTGAATGGGCCAGCAAACTACATACTAACACTGGGAATGAAGGAATGCTAAGTAGATCAGAGCAGAGGTTCTGGAGTCAGAGGGACCCCAGGATGCTGGCTCCATGGACCTCATCAGCTATGAAGACTTGGGAAAGTTCCTCAACCTCTCTGAGCTGTCAGTGTCTCATCTACAAAATGGGGATAATAAAACAACTTCATAGGGTTACTGTAAAGATGAACTGAGGATCTGTATGTGAAATGCCCGATACAGAACAGATGACCATAAATGATGGGTATTATTATGAGGGCTTGTCCCCTCAGAGACGTAAACATGCCCCCACTAAAGAGCTGTTCTGCAGCTGCCTCAGGCAACCAGATGAATCTCTCAAAGGCCACTGATGCTCAAATACCAAATACCCACGTTCCCCCATGTCATTCCTCCTCCCTCCACACTCCCTATTACAGAGCCTGGCACGCCGCCTCCCAAGCTTGCAAGTGAGAGATCTTGCAGTCCTCATGGACTTCCCTCTCCTCCCACAGCCAAACCATCATCAGGTGCTGTTGATTCTACTTCTTAAATATGTCAACTCCATTTGCTTCTCTCCCTCTGCCCACCACAAATATTAGTTCGGGGCTCCACCAACTTACCCCTAGATAACAGGTCTCCAGGCTCATCTCCCTACCCGGGCCTTCCCCCTTCAATTAACTCTGCAACTACAATTATCTTTCTAAAGTACAAATCTGATCGTGCCTCTCCCTTGCTTTAAACCCTTCATCGGCTCTCCAAAATAAAATCCAAGTCCCTTAACATGGCTTCCAGAGCCTGCCATGATCTGCCTAGTGCTCAGAGCTCCCTTCCCAGACTCATCTCTCACCACACCCCTCCTTACTCTGCGTGTTCCAGCCACACTGAGTACACACACTGGTACAAATGAATCATGACTTCTCTCTCTCTCTCTCTCTGCGGTGATTTCACACATGCTTTCCCCTCTGCATAGAATACTCCTTTGTCCCTTCCCTTCACCATGTTAACTCATATTCAGTTTTTAGGTTTCAACTTCGATGTCATTTCTTCCAGGAAGCCATCCCCAATACCTGAATCCCGGGTTAGATGTCCCTTCCACTGTATACAAATGTCTGCCAATTTGTTCACCTCTCCCCAGTAGAGCCCCTGTAGGACAAAATCCATTTCTTTCATTGAAACATCCCAAGTGCTTCAAACACTGCCTGGCACAAGACAGGCACTCAGATATTTGCTGGATAGATGTATGGATGCCAACCATTGGTCCTGCCCTGTGGAGCCATTTCTGGTTGAAGGCAGTAGCTAAACCAACCCCAGGTACCAGCAGGTTTCCATCCAGCAAAGGCAACACCTACCTAGAATGGCTACCACCTCGTCATCCTGGATCACCTCCAGGGAGCCGGAGACCACAAAGCAGAGGCTGTCGACACTCTCTCCTGCGTGGTAGATGAGGTCCCCTGGGGCACAGTGCACAGTCTGGAACTCCATGGCCAGTGCCCGCAGGCAGCCGTCGCTGGCCAGCCGGAAGGCTGGGTGCTCCTTGAACACCTTGCGGTTCAGGTGCACGCAGATGTCAGCTCTCATGTCCTTGGGGCAGATCTGCAGGACCTGGCCAAGCATGGGGAGAAAAAGTGTCAGGATCCTCGGTGTGGCCTCCAGCTCACTGCTTCACAGGACGGAAGCAACACCCACTAGACTAGACCGTACTTTTCAAGGCACCAATGGACAAGACAGCCGCAGTGACCCCAAAATCTCTGCTAAATGCTCAGGACAGGGGCCTGAGTCGGGGGCTGGGAGTATGTTGGGACCCTTTAGACAGGGAATCCGGGAAGCCCTCTCTGAGGTGACAAGCTGACATCTACATAACGTGTCAGAGGGAGCCCTATGAAAGAAGAACATTCCAGCAGAACAGCCAAGGCTGTGAGGAGACCTGAGCAATAGCCAGTATGAAGGACGGGAAAGGTGGGCATGGGAGATGAGATTTCAGGAGAACGTCAAGCACGAGAGCATGTGGAGACTTTTAAACTATGAAAAGATCTTGATTATGATACTGAGTGTAATGGGGACACACTGGAGGACTGAAACAGGGGAGTGACAGGGCATCCTCTATATTTTAAGACGATCATTGCAGCCCCAGAATGGAGTTAGAGGGCTAACTGTAGGCTGGCAGGAGTGGAGCCAGGAATCAAGTTAGCTCACTCCTGCAGGTGTCCAGGTGAGCAGTGAGGGGACTTGGACTGGGATGCTGGCAGGGAAGCCAGTGAGAAGTAATCAAATTCCGAATGCATTCTGAAGATACAGCTGACATGGTCTGCTGATAGACTGAAGGTGGATGTGATTTGAAGAAAGATATTAAGTAATATTTACTGAGGACTTCCTATGTGCCAGGCATTGCTAGGCACTTTGGAGTCATTCATTCATTTCACACACATCTATGGAATACCTTATTGTATGCCGGGAATCATTCTAAGCTCTGAGGATATAGTGCGAACAAAACCCCCTGACTTTGTGTGACTTACTATCTAGTGGGAGGGGACAAATAAAAAGTAAAATTTAGAGGTTAGAGCTATTTTGCAAATAAAAAGCAAAATAAGTAACATTTAGCAGTAAGTGCTAAGGAGAACAATGAAGAAAGAAAGCAGAGGGAAGGTCAGGAGAGTTGTGATTTTACGTTTTCAAGCTAATTGAAATCCTCACATAAACCCTATGATGTAAGTGCTATTATGGTACCATTTTACAGATGAGGAAACTGAAGTACAGGAAAGATCAATAACTTGCTCAAAGTTGCACAGCCAGGAAACTGCAGAGCTGGGCTCTCCAACTAGGTAGTCTGACTCCAGAGCCCAGTTTAGATACAAATCGCTTCCTATATGATAAAGCTGCCCAAAACAAAACGGCTTGTAATTTGACTCTCAGCGTCTAGGAACTCTAGGCAAAATGGGAACTGTAAGAGGCCATGTGGGTCTCATATTCCAAAGAAATAAAAATTTCTCAGCCTTTCCTATGGAGATAAATATTTCTCCGGACTAAATTTTTGCAAGAAATCATTCATAGCTCCTTACGTAGCGAGCACGAAGTAACACAAGAGGACACCTTCAAGTGTACTTTTCCAGAGAAGTCCGGAGTGTTTCTAAAATAATCCTTTCTCCTGTCCTAGGCTGTGAACAAAGCTGGGGGCATTAAATCAAACGTGTTAAGTGAAGACATTTCCTTGGGGTGCTGGTTACCTCCCCACCCCTGCTTCTCCGCCTCAGCACAGGCCATTTGCCTCTGCATCTGGTGCTCACTTCCGAATTTTTTTTTTTTTTTTTTTTTTTGGCGGTACGCGGGCCTCTCACTGTCGTGGCCTCTCCCGTTGCGGAGCACAGGCTCCAGACGCGCAGGCTCAGCGGCCATGGCTCACGGGCCCAGCCGCTCCGCGGCATGTGGGATCTTCCCGGACCGGGGCACGAACCCGTGTCCCCTGCATCGGCAGGCGGACTCTCAACCACTGCGCCACCAGGGAAGCCCTCACCTCCGAATTTGGAAGTCCCTCAGCCTCCTTCAAAACCCAGCTCAAATCTCACCTTGCCCGGGACAGCTCTGCTCCAATCCCAACCCTCTGCATGCCCCCATGCTCTGCACTGGAAAGAGGAGGTCAAACAGTTGAAATCCCAGTTCCTTCCTCTCCAAGTGACTTAACTGCTCTACACTTCAGTTTCGTCTGTAAAAAAGCATGCTGCTAATGTTACCTTATGAGGATTCAATGAAAGTATATCTACCAGTACACATCCTCAGGACAGCACCTGGCCCCAGTAAGGGACTCAATAAATGCAGGTCCCCGTCCTCTATGTGCCTCTGCGCTCTTGCTCTGGGGCTGTAGGATGCCAAGGAAGTGAGCATGCTCTCTGGGAGTGGGGATGGAGGACTGACTGAGGCAGAGGAAAACTCAGACAGCCAATGCTTAGGCAGAGCGCTCACTAAGTACTTCTCCTTCAGGTTCAGTAAAACAAGACTCCTGTAGAAATGCAGGTTTAAGTTGGACTGTCTTCTCTCCAAGCAGAACACCAGGGAGTGGGGAACACTTGCTTGCCATGTCAAAACTGTGCCCAGTGGTTTGAAACAAAGATTTGTTCTCTAGGTGATTTCACCTTTAAATATTTCCTTTCCCTTGGGCTGGGCTTTGCTGGCAGAGTGTGGAGATAATGCTTTATTCATGGGCACTGTTCCAGAGCCACGGGAAAGCACATGTGGAGAGGAGAGGGCACTTGGAGTGGAGAAATTAGACTCTCACGGCCATCAGCATCTCCATCATTCTTCTGTTGGCTTCACACTGGCAGGGGCTCCTGAACGCCCCTCTCTGAGGGCAGGTGTCAGCTCAAGACCCTTCAGCCTTCCCGGGCCACCTGCCCTTCTACTTGGTTTGAGGAGAGACCACTCTTGCTGATCTCTGAGGCTTCGAAGGCCCCAAGGAGATGTCACCACAGAAGTTCATGGAGTCTCCCTGGGGGACAGGGGGGGTGGGGGTTAGGATGAAGCATGGATGCGAGAACAGGCTTTAGGATCAAGCAGATCTGGATTCAAGTCCTGCCTTCCACATGTACTAGTCGTGTGGACTTGAAGCTATGCTTCTTTCCCCAAGTCTTCTGCTTCTCACTTGAGTATAGAATTCTTCAGAGGATTCCATGAGCTGCTGTGTGAAAGTCCTGGCACGATGCCTGGCGCGGGACAGGGCTCAACGCATGGGAGCTGCCATGTCTGACACTGTTATCACAGCAGAGCAGCAGGTCAGCCTGAGGGAGGCTTTGAAGTCCAGGAGGTCAGAGCCAAAAGGGCCTTAGACGTCAGCCTTATTCTTAAAAGTCATCTAGTTTCCATGTGTCACAGACAAGGAAACTGAGGCTCAGAGGGACCAATGATGTGCTCAAGGTCATCAGATAATTACTGGTAACACCGGAGTTGCCCAGCACTCCCACCCTTCCATCGCACACACATCGCCTGGTCATCATCGACCATTCTGACCTGGATTGGAGGGGAGGGAAACCAGGGAATTGCTAAGCAGCTTGCTAGTTTGTGGCTTTCCCCCCTGTGT